TAAAATAATATAAATATACTATAGACCAAATACCAGTATTAAAATATCCTTAGAAATAGTTGCTGAGTGCTAATACACAGGATCATTTTTCGAATTCAGTAGTTTATTATTAAATTTAAATTGTACAAATAAATTAAATCGGCTAACTCAATGACGAGATACACTCGAAATCTACTAAATAAACAGCAGATATAGTAGAAAGAGTTCACTGCATTTTTAATTCCAAATCATTGATTGCTTGTAAATTATTTTTAAATTTTAAATTAAACAAGGAAATTATTGCATTATGTATTTGTTGCTCTATTAAAATAATTTTTCTTTTTAAACACAAATTTTGAGTTAGCTTATAAGTGCTCAAAAAGTTAACTATCTACTCTATTGATTATAAAATGGAAGTAATACGCTCTCATAAACATATATTATAAGTTTTCAGACACAATTATCAAAAAAAAACTAAAAATCAGTTGGTCAGCCGTCCAAATGACATCATGGTGGGACAAAAAAAAAAAAATTGGCAAACGATGAAAACGCCTTGTTGTGTAATGTGCGGCGTACATGAACGTAAACAAAATTATAGTAACGTCAACGTTGTACCAAGCGTTGAAACAAAACCGCTAAACGAAACACTAGAACCCTCGAACACGGTTTTTTTCTAATTTTTTTTTTTTTTCATTGTCTAGATCTCGGCTAGTTGCGTATTTTATAAACAGTGATCTCTCGGGTTTATTATCAAATTTACTTTTTCATTTAATTATTAAAATAATAATAATAATTTTTTTTTATTATTATTATTATAGCTTTAAGTAACAACTAATATAGCTCTACAATTATATAAAAAAAAAAAGTACAATTTAAATTAAATTAAAGAACATGAACATAGATATTAAATAATAAAGCCAGCATCTAAAATAAATTTAATAATACTTTTAATAGTGAAGATGCAATTAGTATTGAGAATAGAGTGGAGAATAATTATTTTTATTTGATAATATTTGTCATCAGTTATCAGTTATCACTATGTCATGGCCCATTGGCCCATGCCATACGGGTATTTACTGCAAGGTACGTATATTATTATAATTTATTATAAAATATTGGTAACTCATTGGTCTGTATTCAAGTGCGAGTTGTGGATAGATTATACAAGTTTTACAATAAGCTTTCGATACTAAATAACGTTACATTTTGTTTTATCAAATTCTTAATTCTTTTTTTTTCGAGGGACAGAGCAAAAATTATAATCTTTGATCTTTTTTCATTTCTCCCTCTCGGTGAACTCTGAAATAAGCCCTGATCCCAGCTACTATAGCCATGCGGTGTACGTTTACTAATCACATAAATTACATTACCATATTGTATACGTATATTGTATGTATTTATACAATATACACATATTTTAAACATATAATATGAGTACACCATGTAATACCTACGCATGGACGACGGGACTAAGTCAAGAAATAATATTTCTCTGTCATACATATATACTTGAATAATAATACTTAGACTATGAAAAACATCATTTTTTTTTTTAACTATCTACTCTCAGCTTTTTGTACACTCTATTTATAACATGTGTATATGTATACTGTATACGATCGTGTCAATACTGTATTACTTAAATAGAACTTCAGATACGTTAGGTTGGGTTTTTCAAGTATGGAAAATAAAAAACTGGTTTACATAATTATTTTTAAATTTTTTTAGAACATTTAAAGAAAAAATTTCGTTTGAACGAAAAAATCAAACTGGAGTAATATGATTCCTTTTAATTGGAACTAAAGGTCTGCAGTTTTTTCGTTCTAACACTTTAATCAAAGATAGTAAGATTAAAAGTAAAAGATTACCAGTACTTATAAAAATAATCGAATAAAGCATATATTAATAAGTAAATTAACTACTCATAAAATTGATCTACCTGTGTCTTATTGTTATTCAAAAATTAATTAGGTACTCTAGAATAGTGGTCCTCGTTATGATTCTTAAAACAACTAAATATTAATTTTAAAAACTTCTTGCGAGCCACCCACAATTTTTTAGTTAATATATTATTTGACTTATCGATAATAATCAATTATAAATATTAAAATGATATTTACAATTTTACAAGCAATTGATAAAAACCATTAAGTTTACTATCATAAAATAAGAAAAAATATTGTTTCATAAATTATTATATTGTTTAAATTTATTATTTGATATTATTTTTTGGTGTTGATGTACGAAATTTTAGTTTCTTGTATAATACATTATATATAATAGAATCATAAAAATATACATTTTTATTAATTTCACACTTTTGAATATACATTTTAATTCTAGTACGAACCACACAACATTTGTAAATAAACAGGGCGTGGGTAGATTTTTTTATTTCACGCTGTTATAAATTTGAATTATTCCGGCAAATGTTTATGTTAGCATTTTATTGACATAATATTATTTTCAAAATATTTCGTATTTTTATACTAATTTTAACCATTTGAAATTTTAGTAAAATTCGTCAAAGACATTTTTTTATGAAATATAAAACTATTGAAAAATCTTTAAAGTTATTTTGTTACAGAATTAAGTCAGAATTTTTATTCTGTTTTCTTCTATAAATATTTATTGATTATGTTTAGGAGCTACAGATTTTTTTTGAGGGAAGGGGACATATAATTTTTTTTCTCTACTTTTTGGAAGTTATCTTATGATTATACAATTCTGTTAATAACTATGGTATACATTTAGCATAATATAAAACTATAAATGAATGTATTTACGTAGATTAATATAAGTTTATTAATATATTATGTTTTAAACATGAAATTTTATTTTTAATTCTAGTATTATAACTAATAAGTAATAAGAACACGAGACCATAACTTTTAACTTTTATAAATATAAATAAAACCTTACAAAAATTACAAAAATGGTAAAAATAAAAATAAAGGAGATTACTATGAAGCAACTAAACAAGTTAAAATGGTTAAAAACATAACAAAAGTCACAGTTTGTACACGAATTTGGGATAAACAAATAACTGTGCGACGTCGTGCGCTCATAGTATTCGTACGACGTACATACCAATTGTATAACAAATACAAATAAACAGTAATCTCCAAGTTACATTATTTTAAATTATAACATAATGTTTTAGGAATTGTAGTTATACCCATTATCTATATTGTGTATGCAGTACAACTGTAATTAGCTGCAGAATGTACCAAGCACCCTGTAATTATAAATAAATATTGAAAATAATGATGAAATTTAAATCGATCTTTTATTTTAACATCATGCTTAATACTTAACCATTACTACTTGGCATTTATTAATACAAATTACGTATAATTTATTATAAATTTATTTCTAATTAAATAAATATATTAACGATACAACCCATGAGGAATTTTTATACATTACACTATAGCAAAGAAAAAAAAAGAAAAAGACTTCAGGGGAACACGCAATGCTAGTTCTCCTCCTGAATAAACGGCACTGCCCTAAGCTAAATCCTAAAGCTTGAAAGTTTAACACAAAGTTCCTCAAGATTTCCTTACGGCAATCTTTTATTAAACTGAAGAATTAAACAAATAAATAATAATTTTAGTTATTTGATTGTAGTTCAAAAATGTTATTTGTAAGGAATTTAACTCTTTCCCATTATGTATATTATTAATTACTAATTAAGGATTGCTATAAGCAATAACATTTTCAAAGTATTTTTTTTAATTTTAAGTTATTTATAACATTAACCTATTCACATCGTCTTTTGATATTGATGTTGATAACAGCTAGTAATAATATTATAATGTATGAGATTTGTTTTTGTAAAAATTATTTAAGCCTACCTTAATTAATAACATACATAAATATCCAATGTCTCCGGTTTTTTACTTTTTTTATTATTGTTCCAAAAAGATAGATAATAGGATAACGAAAAACGTTTCTCAGTTGAAGTACCTATTTAAGAACTTATCAAAAAAAATTATAAAAAACCGTTATTTTTAAATTATCATAAGGGAATAGGCACATTGAACAATTTCTAATTCAAATCAATTGTTTGTCGTTTTTATCATTTGGCATGTCTTGATTTCATTTTCTAATTCATGTTTTTACTCAGTCTACGTATTATAACGAGTATAAGTATTGAGAATATCTTACATTTTACATTTATTGGGCGATCATGTTTCAGAGTAAAAACAGACTATTAAAATGATTTTACAATAAATACGGTCTACGATTTTTCTTCATAACCTTTTTTTATCATTAAGTTTGAGAGAGATGGTAAACTGCGGCAAAATTTACCTTTTTCTAAAAATCGATATATAAACTGCAGCAAAAAAATAATTAAGATTATAAGATTATACGATCTGCGACAAAACCGATAAAATACATCATACAAACTGCGGCAATTTATTTTATATACTTATACACGTTTATTGCTTAATTAGGTATAATACGTATTACGTGTTATGACAGCTATTAGTATCTCTTTAAGTATTAGGCGTAAAAATAAAGAAAAACCAATTTTAAAATTAAAAAATATTATTATTATATTAAAAATTATTTTAAAAAATCATTTAATTAAAAAAATAAATAAATAAATAACAATACAATAGGTATCTAATTTAATTTCCGCAGTTTGTATGATGTATCTTATCGGTTTTGTGGCAGATTATATAATCTTAATTTTTTTTTTCTCGCAGTTTACATATCGACTTTTTGAAAAAGGTAAATTTTGCAGCAGTTTACATACAGCCAAGTTTGATACTTCGTGCACGTATAATCATTACTTCTAATGTTCAAACTGGTCGATGGTTTTGTCCCGTTAGGGAAACTTACACCTCCCTCGATCAACCCCACGTGAAATGCCCACACATACATACATTATAGGACATAGATACTCGCAGCCTGCAAGTACTATCATTTCATAACATATTATACACAAATTCGGCGATGATAACATAATTGAACAGTGATGTGATAACCGATAACGACAAAACACAACTTACACGTCTCGTCCGGGGGTAACAGGGGAGCGGCGGCTATTGCAAAATTTACGGCCGTGGTGCGTTGCTCTCCTACGACGACGACGACGCCGGTAGCGGCGGTCGACTGCACAAAAACGACGGCGACGGCAGAGGCAGCGGTGGCGATTGTCTCGTGTGATGCACGGTGTGAACGGCACGCGACATAATAATATTATAATGATGATGTCCTGTACTGCGCAACCCGAAACGAAACGTTCAAAAAATTAAATTTATAAATTTGTTATAATAATAATAACAATAAACGGCAGTAAAGATATGGTATTATACGATCCGCCGCTTATTACACTAATAACGCACGACGACGCCTACGACACGCAAGTACGACCAAGACGAGTCGGTCGCGCGGCTTTTGCGGCGCGGACCATTAAAAACGATGATAAATATTAAACGGCGGCGGTGGCGGAGACGACAACGATAATATTATATTTCTATAAATAATATATCACATTATGTATCGGCCGCGGTGGTGCGCCCGTACTGATCACACTGTCTTCCGCGCCGCAATACGCACACACCCACGCACACACTGCCAAACGCGCGCGCAATATAATATTAATAATAAATAACCGCAATGGTATAATAATAATAATAACGACGGCGGTGCTGATGATAATACGACTGTGCGGGACCGCCGGGAGAGTGATAGAGAGAGAGTGTTAGATTGAGTGTGTGAGAGAGAGACGCCCAACCCGCCGGCACGCACCGCTACTGAGTCTCTCGTGTACAACAGTCCGCGTCGGCGGCACACGACGCGAAACGCGCACGGCGGCAGCGACGGCGGCGACGACGGCAGCGGCACGTTCGCGCTATCGCAGCCCGCGACGACAGTCCGTAAAGTAATCCGGGGATTTTCCCGTCGGCGTGCCCCAGGATTTTACACCGCCACCGCGGCGTGCATCCCCCGCACCGCCCACGCCGGGGCCGCGTGTGTGTTGCCCCGCCGCCCTTGACGTCCTGGCGGAAAATTGGGGCCATCTCGACTCGAGCGCACCGCGGCAATGCAAGCTCGCGGAATCGGCGGCAGAAGGTTCACTCCTGCTCTCACTCGTTCCTTCTGCCGCCCACGCACATTCTATACGCACACACGCGCACCGCGGTGTCCTGCCGCCGCTACCCGCGGTCCTTGCCCGTCCGCGGCGACTATTATATTATTATTATTGTAATACTATGTATGGGAGTGCGTGAGAGAGTACGCGATCGCGGGGGCGATCTGACCGTTGGCGAACTCTGTATGATGCACTGCGAACCGCAGGGACGACGCCACTCCCTCGCGTCCTCCGCCGATACCGCCCGAATATTGCGGTACACTTTTGCGCCGGGATCGCATCGGTCCCGATGCACTCGGCGGTCACCGTACTAGAACAGTACTCGCGATGTACTATCGTTAAACGATGGGCATTTGTAGGACTTGCTGCAGAACTGCAACTATGCAGACCACTATACGTACAATAAACGTGACTGTGGCATTACGCACCCGCAAAAATACTCTCGCGACCCGAGAAAATTGGAAATTTTATAATTATTTCATCGCTGGTATTCTCGAGCCGTTGTGGTTCTAGTTATCAGCGTTTTGGTCGTTTTGTCGACAAGACACGTACCTATCCGGTATTCGGCCGACCGCGTTACCGCAATGTACTCAAAAACCAGCGTCATTCATTTTATTGACCCATAATCTCGAACCTCTTGAACGCGTCGTCATTCTCTTCGAGTGCCTCTTTTGCCACCACCTCACCTACTCTTACCCGGAGACAATTCAATAGCGTTGTCGTCTAACGAAAGCGTGATGAAAAATATAATTCGACAAGCACCACTTAAAAATCCGCAATCAAAGCACATGACGCACCGACTCCATTGATGTTTAACCCAATTTAATGTGAGGAGAGTCCCAGCGTCATTATCCAAAGTCTCACTTCTTGCGTATCTGCATTATTCCGTCACGGTAGTACGGTACTCTAGCAAGCGTAAAAGGAGGGGTTGAAAGGAAGGATCGTTGCCTGCAGAACAATTACCTAGGTTTTCATTTAAAATCATTTTCCTATTTTCTAACACTTATTTGTGTAAATGTAATCAGTAAGGCCAAGAAGATTCGACACCATACTGGGAATCATCTATACCGGCGTGTGTAGAGCCCGGATACACATTTTCTTCTAAACACATCGAACCAGATAATCTGTCATCATACACCGGGCGTTGCTGCGACGTTGCCACGGCGCGTCAGAATCGCTCACTCGCGTTCCACGTTTTTATTATTGATTTAAGACGAGGGACAAGATGCGGTCTCTATGGCAACGTCGTACCCAGGGCAAAGGCGCGAAAGAGAGTGAGAGAGAGAAAAACAGAAACAGTTACTGAGAGCAAGCGAGCGAAGGCGAGGAATCGCACGGGGAGAGGAATGGTTATGCTCGCTGTGGTGGATAGGACGTGCCACGCCCAAGAGGTGGTGCGCTGCTGCGGATGCATTGCGTTCTTCCCTTACACTGCACCCCGGTCGGCCAACGAGGTCTATCTATACAGCCTTATACATTGTGTAACCAGATGCCCACACGGTAGCGCACTTGACCTCCTCACTTCCGTCAACCACGAGTGTGTGGCGAAAAGTATAGTGTACTCTCTCAATGCGAAATAGGCACATAAAACTGTATGACATATCAATAAAAATTGACGCATGTACTCTCAGAGGATTTAATGCAAAATAATACTGCACTCTATCACCCGCCAAGTGTCTCGTCACAATTGCAGTACTTTCGCCGTCGAGTCCTAACGGTTTTACTACCATAATAAAACATTGCACCACACTATAACGGTATTAAAATATAACCTTCTTTCACTCCCATGCATATTTGGAGGTAAACGTACGACTATCCAAAATCATATAATTACCTAAGTTTATCAGTTATTACTAGTTAATCCATGTATTATACTAAATTAAGTATAGAAGAACTTTTAATGCAAGTAAAATATTTAAACCTAGTTGAATAAAAATGATAAAATCTAATTATTGTATTAATTCAATAATTATACATATTTAATTTTGAATTTGATATTAATCTTGTCATATATCTTTGAAGTATAATATCAATAAACCTATCGCTAAAGCACTTGAACTTGATGAAATAAAACCACTTGCACTTCAATTAAAAAAATTCCAGTTAATGAGGTTCATCCCAATTCTCTGTGCAATTTAGATAAACCACATTAATAGTATTTTAAAATTTTAATAAAATATATTATAAATGTTATTAATTTATAACATTTAACAATCATTCTAAAAATAAAAAAAAATGAAATATTATCAAAAACAATGTTTTTATTCAATTGTACGTAAAAATGTTAAGTGAAAATATAAGAAAACCCTTATCATTATGCCGCTTCAATTTTAAAACGACAATCAATGACATAATTGATCTAGTATAACAATTTATCCATAACAATAGATATGCTTAAAATGCACTTCAATTACAGAATCTCATAAGTGTATATTATTATACCATATCAATTCATTTTTCTATTAATATAGAAAAGAATGATGGTAAATAAAAGTTTTATTTATTATTATTCATTAACATATAGCAATGAGTCATAAGTAACTGAAGTGACAAAACAATTCTGTTGATGGTCAGAAAAAAAAAATATAATCATTTGACTCAAAACATATTCTTAATTTTACTGCTATTAACTTACTGTAAGTATTTAGTATTTACATTAAAAAAATTAGGAAGAATTGTTGCCAAATGCAACTTATTTTTATATTATTACGTAAGCTTTAAGAGCAAAAAAAAATGTTCATATTATAATTTCCTATTTTCTAACGTTTATATAATTTACAAAATAAAAAAAAAAAATTAACAAATAAATATAAATCTTTTGTTGGGACAGATATTTTTTTTGACAATTTTTAAAATAATATTATTTTGAAAAGCCGAGTCAATTTATCAGTAAATTTTTATTTCTAAAAATAAAATTATTTTCAGTATAATTTAAATTTGAGTCAGGCACAGACCATGACAACAACAGTTCTGTCCCATAGGGACTCGATGATTTATTCAACAATTTCATAAACTGTTAGATAATGTTTTAACATTTTAGAACAATAAGGTGCTCATACCACCCATTTCACTCTGTTCTTTAACAAATATTTCAAAATACTGGTATATAATAGTAACAGCTAACAGGATTCCAGTTCCCGATCCAATGGCACCCATGAAATCAGCAAGGACAGATAACGCACCAATACAAAGCCCTCCAAATGCTGCAGCAGTAGGTATATAACGATTCAATTCATGAATCATAGAGTTGTCCCTGTGACCCCGCATAACCATTTGTTGTTCTTTTAATTGTTTCGCAACCTAAAACCATAAATATTTTAATGTAAGGCTATCATAAATTACATTGAATATAAATTTGCTATACTAACATCTTTAGCCGATGATCCAGAGACTTCAATCCAAGTTTTGGAAAAGAATGCACATGATCCCAACATAAATACAATATAAAGAATAGCATGAATAGGATCTTCCGCAATATGAGATAGATTTTCAGGTGGAGATAAATAATAACACAAGCCACCAACTGGGTATGCTCGAGCCGGTCCACCACCACCAACATCAGCCCATACACCCAATAAATTGACTAATATGTTACCATGGAATTTTACAGCCAACATCTATAAATAATTATTAAGTATTTAATTATTTAATTACAAATTTATGATAAGCATTTTACCTGAGATATAACATATAAATTTGATACTAAAGCAGATTGTAAAATGATAGGAATGTTAGATGTATAAAACAACTTGATTGGATAGCTGCTATATTGTCCACGATATCTGGCAGACTTAATTGGTAGATCAACTCGGAAACCCTATAATATTATCATAAACGTATAGTTATTAAATTCATAATTTATTTATTTTTAATTTAAAATCCTTACTTGGAAATATATTACGATAGCAAACACCAATACAGTTGCTAATAAATTCATCAAATTTGGTAAGTTTTGTCTATAAAATGCTTCCCTAAGTGCTCTAACTTTATCCTGTCTTGTAGCCAATAAATGAAACAAGGCAATAACAGCTCCTTCAAATTCAGTACCTCGGCCTGAAAATCATAACATAATTTTTTTTAACTGATTGTAAAATAACAAATAACTTATAAAATATTGTATGATATAATTTACCTGTGTTAACAGTAGTTGGACTGAAAGCTTTCCAGACTATTGTTTCACAAATATTGGTAGCAATGAAAAGTGATATTCCAGAACCTAACCCATATCCTTTTTGTAAGAGTTCGTCCAATAATAAGACAATTAATCCAGCCACAAACAACTGAATGATAATTAACAAGCATACACCAGCTCCAATTTCACTGGGATCACCATACATACCAGTCATTACATAAACAATTGCTTGTCCAACAGTAATAACCATACCAAACACTAAGATCAAAATAAGTTTTGATTAATTTAATAAAATAACTATATTCTAAATATAAATAAACATACGTTTTTGTGCTCCATTAAATAATGCACGATCTTTAGGAGTATCACCAACTTCAATAATTTTAGCACCAGCTAACAATTGCATAATAAGTCCAGAAGTAACAATTGGTGAAATTCCAAGTTCCATTAAAGTACCTCGATTTGAAGCCAAAATTACACGAATCCAGTAAAATGGATCTGCCGAGTCTGAACTCATAATTCCAAACAAAGGTATCTAAAAAAATTGAAATGATTTTAAAATTCTGAATGTAACAAAAATGTTTATAAAATAAAATAACTTACTTGACAGCACACCAAAAAAATAAATAAAGTAATAGCAGTCCATAATACTTTTTCTCTGAATTGAATCTAAGTAAAATAAAAATACATAATAAATCAAATTAAATTTAAACCTAGATAATTGACAATTAAATCTTTAATATTAGTGCATACTTTTAAAAATATATACAAGTAATAAACCAATTACTAAAATAAATTAAAATTAGAAATAAAATCTAATATAACTACTAAATGAACTAAAAAAAAATTTATCATATTTAAACAATATTTTTGTTTGTTTAAATAAAATAAAATTGTCATGAATAACAAAAATAACTAATTTAATTTGGATTTTAAGATTGAGCTCTGTTAATTATGGTACATGAGTCAATTGGTTTGGTTTGGTTTGTTTTTATTGATCTAAAAGTATTTTATTAATATAAATACTAAATAATTTTAACTTTAATTTAAACACTTACTTTTCGTTCAGGTTTAGCAATTTCTGGCAATATACTGCAGAAAGGTTTAATTACTTCTAAAAATTTAACTGAAACAAAAATAAATAAACGAATAAATTAAATTCTGGTATCAAGATGATTGGTACTTTTAATATTCTAAAATATAATAGGTAGTAGGATTGTATAATAGAAATTTAAAGTAAATTGTAATAGATCTAATGATTTAATTCAGTAACAACAAAAAGTTAGTGTATCTATGACTAAATAAATAAGCATAAATGCTAGATAACACTGTACATGAAATTATATAGCTTAAATTTGGAATAAAAACTTAAATATTTATTTAATAATAATATACATTAGTTAATATTATTGTTTTTTAAATGTCTAGGTAATGTACGCAATTATAGCAAAAATTAAAATAGCTGAAATGACTGTTAATCTAGTTACAGGTGTATGCAAGAAAATATAAACAATAAGATTTACAAACACCATATGATTCATAGAGTACTTAATACTATAAATACTAAAATTTTATTAGATTGAGCCAAATGTGAAATTTGGGATCAATTAATACATGGGATTATCGCGATTTGTTAACAAAATATATTTATAAATATAAATTAATCGCTAGTTAATAAAATTATAATGATTAAACAAATAACTAAATGTTAATCCACGCTGAAAAAAAATCAATTGATTTATTAAATTTATAAATTTATACTTATTGCTAATTTTATTAATTACAGTTTATGATAACTATTTAAAAACAAGAAATCCAATCAATTACATAGACATTCAATAACATATTAATGAACAACTGAAAAATAATTTCAAAAGATTAAAATTTGAAAACCTGACCCACTTTTTAAAATGAAAAAAATTAAAGAAATATTTGAAATGAAGTGTTTTAGAACTTGTAATAAAGTATTTGAAAGAGAAATATATATTTAATTGCTTAAGTGTAAATCAGTTTGCGGCAGATGCCCGTGGCCAAAAGCCAACAGGTATCACTAATTTAAAGAGGTTCTTCCATAGAAGTCTAAAGACAACTTAAATTCGAGAATATAAACTAAAAATTAAATAAAAAATACTTTGTAATACTTACAACCCATTGTGATAGATGTGTTCGTAACAGTCTTTTGGCTTTAATTATTAAAGAACATCAGTGGTAAAACGACACGTATTTAACGTCAGGAACCATAAGAGTGATCGGCAAAAGGTGGACGTCACGGCAATACAGTACGGTTTACTTTCAATATTTAGTGGAACGTACAACCACGTAGCGGCTTGACCGACAACATCAACACGAACACACATGAAACGATTTTTGTCGATGAGTCGGCGACACGTATGGTGTACGCATACCAAAGAGATTACAAACACTCCTTTCACGGATGATGTACATACGTACAACTTAGCATTTTTGTTATGCAACGTTGGACATAGTGACAAGGGGAGTAATGACGTAGTGACGAGGATGTACTATCAAGTATCAACACTTCAATACGGTATCAACATTATCAACAGATTAATAAATATAAATAAAATTATTTACAACATACGAATATGACATCACATATTATTAATAAATTTAAAATTACAAAAATGACAGTCATAATATGAATAAAAATATACATAAATCATGTCTATTGTCTATTCAACGTACGCTAATCGGCCTATAGTAACGGATTTCGATTTTTTATTGAATAAATAATAATAGAGTAGTTAGCAATTATAAACAAAAATGTTTACGAAAAATTATGGATTCGAATAATAACAATTGATTTTAATTTTCGTATTTATTCCATATGGTGAGCTTAAATGATGTTTTGAAACCTAAATCATATGAGCTACATCAAAATTTACTATTTAGTACCTATTCAAAATAAATAAATTTATTTAAAAAAAAATTATTTATTTCAGATCATGCACGATTTGAGAATGCGATTCATATTTCATACTGTCATTTGTAATTACTCAATTATGCAAACATTACAAGCATACAACAAACGACGATTACAATGAGTGTGTATCTTACAATTTTGAAGTTACTAATAAGTAATTACAACTTACAACATTTACAACTATTTACAACACTGCAGCAGATGCCAGAGGACAGACCACCAGCCAGCAGTGCTGGGTGTTGACCGGCGGGTGCACCTGATAACGATCATGGAAAATGAGTATAATAGCCAATATTGTTAAATTCTGTGCAAATAGTCATCAGTCATCAGTGTTATCATTAATAATTGACTAAATTGTCCTAACCTCTAAAATAATATGATAATAGACAATAGTATAAAAATAAATAATGTGTGAGCAAGTGATATGGGATAAAATTGATAACTAACTAAGACCTAAGTAATTGAAACCTGGAAGACAAACTACTGGAGTTCTGCAGTCAAGTGTCTACTACTTTACTAGTTCAGAGTTCTTTATTGGAACTTTTAAAGAGTTAAGTTTTATATCTAATTTTAAATTTTAAATTGAATTTGATTTTTACTTTTTAAAATGAGTAAATAATAATTATTCGTTTTCAATCATTAGCTAAGTTCTCTGTACCGCCATGTTCACAACGTTACGTTCTCTCATTCACCCTGGGAATGGTTTAATCCTATCAATTAGGGGCCTTAAGTCTGATTTACATATAAAATGGGTCCGACCAGAAAAGATTGCTTGCTGGGATCCCAAAAAATCTGGTGACTTGTCACCTTTGGAACCACTGGATATGACCAAACCTCCGTTGGAATTTCAAAATTCTGAAGAACTAAAAACGTAAATGATTAACAATATTTGATATTTTTTAAGGACATAAAAGATTACAATAATAATTGTCTTTATTGAAAAATTTCTATTTTAGAGCCAATGAATATGTACGTAAAGTATTTTCATGTGATTTCATGGGGCGGCGATATGCAACGCAATTAGCTCGTCAACAACTCATTGATAAAGTGAAATCCAATAATTTGGATTATACATCATGTGAAGTTCAAAGTATGATTACACTATTATAATAATTAAGAATTATATTTTTATTTGATTCTAGTAATTTTATGGTAATTTAGAACAATACAATATTCTAATTTAAAAAAATATTAGGTATTTACATACAATTTTTTAGAGTTTACATAAATGGAAAGCAAATTATAAATATTAATTAGTTGAATATGTAATAACGAGATTGAGGACTTCATTTTTTCATATTTATGTAGAAAGATGGCATAACTATAGAATTCATCTTTAAATATAGCACTATAATAGAGAAGTATGTTTAAAATTGTATATAGGTTAAGAAATAGTTTTTAATTGACACTTAAGTAAAAACAACAGCTGTTTCACTTTTGCATTTTAAAAACTTCTTTATCTTAATAAACTAACCATAATGCCTTCTTAAAATTCTGAACTTAAGTATGCAAAATAAATAAATATATTATCCTTAAAATAAATGCAATTGAGTTATAACCTCAACAGATTAATTAGTTATTTGTTTGACTCTTGATGAAACATATTCAATAATCACTGTAGATGAGTAATTGCATTATATAATTTATCAAATTCCATTAATTAAACAATTGGCATATAAAAATACTTAAAATAATCATATATTATGAAAACAATGTTTTTTGATAAATACTTTAAATTTACTAATTTACATAAAATGTAATAATGTGCACTAAACATTAATAAAATAATCAAAAACTGATAGCTGTAACCTTTGCAAAATATGTTTTACCTCTTAAGTACTTTTATATAAAACAAATTATTTGTTTAAAATATTTAAATAGTATGTGCTACTCATAAAATAATGGAATTTTTTATTGAAATTTGAGCTCAACAACCAATATATATATATATATTTTTATATTTAGTTGCCAGTATGACATCTAACATTCGTAATCTTCAAGAACACTACAAAATAGCTCCAAGAGATAAAAATTCTAGAGTAGCCTTAAAAGAAATAATAGACAAACGTAAAAAGAGGTTGAAACATTTACGAACTTGGGACTATAAGAAATTTGAATGGTTATTGGAAAAATTGGATTTAAAGTATCATTCTCATCCGTAAGTAAATTACATAATAATTAGATAAACAAAATATTTGTATTCATAATTTTTATTTTTATTCATAGACCTTATGAACGAGTAGAAAGAAAAAAATCTTTACGCCGTCTAACATCTCAATGGTGTGATGAAGTCAAATCAAAAAAATTGGCGGAATACCGTAAAGAATTAGATAATGAAAAAGAAAAATTTTTGAAACAAAAATTGGAAACATTAGAATGGGCTAAAAAAGAAGAAATTGAATGTGGCGTAACACCAACAATAACTGATACTGACATTGAAAATGCCCGTAAACAAATAGAAGAATGGAAAACCTTAAAATCAATTCAAGAATAACTCGCCTTGTTAAAACAAAAATTGAAATAATTTAATGTTAAAAACAATTCTATAGAACTAAATTATAAACTATTTTTTTGTGTTATGAATTTCATTTTTAGTTCTTGGTATTGTGCCAATTTTTGAAGCTACTTCCTTCCATGTATCTAAGGCAATCAAATTTGCCCTTTGTTGTCCTTCTTGTAGAACTTTACTCAAATATTCTGGTGAATTTATCAATTTAAAAATTTGTTGACGAATTGGAGTTAACTTTTCAACTAATGCTTCTGCTACTATAGATTTATATCTAAAAAAAAAGGTGATAATCATTATTAATGGTTATACTAAATGGGTAAAAATATTAAAACTTTACGCAATATTGTAACTCCATTTTAATTCTTTTTAAATTGTTGCTCATTAAAATATTAAAAATATAGACTGGAAAATTAAATTCAAATACCTTCCAGTATCCAAGAGCAAATTTTCTTCACAAATTTCTTCTGGCAATAGTCCACTAATAAGTGAATGCATAGTTAGAAGCGTTGAAACACCCGGTCTATTTTCAGGATCATATGTTACTTCAGATTTACAATCTGTAACAGCTTTTTTCACTTTTTCTACAATGACATCTGGTTCATCCGTAATTTCTATTCTTCCACGGGGATCTGGATGAGACTTAGACATTTTTTTCATAGGATCACGAAGATTTCTGATCCTTGATGAACAATTTTCTAAAGACAAAATTAAATATTTATACATTTAAGTATATCACATAATATGTACAAATAATAAATATTTTGTATTTACGTTGAATAAGAACTTCAGGTATAGGAAATGTTTCACCATAGCGTTTATTAAATGTACGAGCTAAACTATGAGCCAACTGCAAATGTTGAATTTGATCTTCACCAACTGGTACTTTAGTTGCTCTATAACAAATAAAATAAACCAATAACAAAAACATTAGATAAAAAGTATAATTGATTACTTATATAAAAGTATATCTGCAGCTTGTAAAACTGGATATAAGTACAAACCAAGAGGAATATCTTTTAAGATTGAAGACTTTTCTTTAAATTGAGGCAACTGGCCCAATCTAGGCATAGTAGTCAAGCATCCAAGCACCCAACTTAATTGTGTATGTTCAGGTACCTAAAGATTAAATTTAATTTAAAATCTGGTAATATCTTTAGTATCATATAACTAAATCAGTAATTTTTCTATATAAAAAAAATATGATAAAATAAAACTATACGTTATACATCAAACAATATTTTAACCAGAATCAAAAATTTTAAATCACCTGAGATTGCAAAAATAGAGTGCTTTTTTCAGGATCAATTCCACATGCAATGAGACTAGCTGTCATAAGGAAAACATTTTTTTCTAATTCCTTAGTATTCTAATACAATAAAAAAATATCAACACAAATTAGTTTGTAAACTATAAAAACTACTATACAATATTAAACTAACATATGGTAAAGTAATAGAGTGCATGTCAACAATACTGAATACGACTTCTTTGTTTTCATTTTGTAGCTGAACCCACTTGGACACAGCACCAAAGTAATTACCTAAATGTAGGGTTCCTGTTGGTTGAATACCAGAAAATACTCTCTCTTTCCATTTAACCTAAAAAATATTGACTCAATAATGAAATACGCGAAAGATTAAAAATAAATTAAGTCGATCACTTACATTTGAATGGCAAAAACGTACAATTGTATGACAACAAGTAGAAATATTTTTTAAAATCATGACGTTTTTAAATATTTTTTAAAGTATGTATAATTATAATATGTATCAACTGAATTCAAAAACAATAACAAGTGTCTAAACAATAGTTATTAAATAAATATTGAGCAGATTAATATTATTTTATAACGAATTTGAAAATCACAATAAGATCCAACTAATAACTACCACCAAATATTCATGAGTAA